TGTGTGTGTGTGTGTGTGTGTGTGTGTGTGTGTGTCCTACCAGGAATGTATTGGAGCAGTGTCCGCAGATGACCCTGATGCCGACGGGTTGGTGCTGCGGTTCAGGACTGTCGCTCCCGATGTGAACTGGTCCCAGGTTGATGATGCGTTTACTGGCAGGAGACACAATCGGAAAGTGCAGAGTTTTTAAAGAACCGAAATCTGCGCTTGAACGTCGACGCCGACTACTTCAGCTGAGACGAGTGAAAACGAATCCGTCGCTGTGTCTCTGTCTCACCAGTACGGCCTCGGACAGGCGATCCTCTGCGACGTGACTTTGCAGATCAGGAGACAGTTGCATGGACAGCGGACGTATTTCTTTCCCACGGGGGCGTTTTTTATCGGCTATTGACGGAGAGATAAGGAAAGAAAAGACAACATTTTATTTCAGCGTCCAGAGTTTCCTCGTTCTTTGCTTCCTAAATGTCTCAGTTTGTCTTATCAGCAGAAACTCTGCACATCAGGCGGCGAGCTTTCCTGAGAGGAAGTCTGGATGTGAAACACGACACCGAGAACAACAGCCTGATATTTTTATGGTTCCTGGGCGCAGTCGTTCTCGATGCTTCAACTTCTGAATTTCCTAAAAATGCTGACTCATCGCTTTTCTTTGCTGTGTTTTTAAATATTCTAGTGCCAAAAATGTTTTAAGCAGAAAATCCTGCAGCGAGAGTTCAACTATATTAATCACATAAATGACTTTAAAGAGAAAACAGGATTTAGAGGGTTTTTACAACAACAATAGCAACAAGGTGTTTCATCAACAAAGAAACAGAACCAACAAAAAAAAAGATCAGAACTGGTTCAACACGAAGACGAAGTGTCCTTAAAGAGGAAACCTCCAGTCTCACCGTCGCTTCGTTGCAGATGCTGCACTTCACCACGTGCTGGTGCGTCTTCCCCTCCACGGATATGGCGCTCTGACAGACGCGGCAGTTGATGACCGGAGCGCTGCTGCTGTCCGGGCTGCCCTGAGGCGAGTACGGAGGCGGAGGGTCTCCTGGAGCCACCAAGCTGGGGAACGGCGCCAAACCTGCAGAGAAGGACAAACGGGGGGGCAAACGGTTGAGCTACTGAAAGTTTAAAACATGTGTCGATGGGAAGACGGGAAGAAAAACAACCACCGATGTTCAGTTTACAACTGTCTTTACATTCCAAGACTGAACTTTGCAGATGAACAAATCCACGGTGTGTTTTACATCCTGGATATCTTGGCTTCATTTCTGTGTAGTGGGAGGAAGTGGAGACGCGTCGTCCACCTTTCTTTAGAGTCGGTGTCGTCCTATGTTGAAACCTGACACCCGGCCGCACATTTGAAGTTTGTCAGAACCAAACCAGACATTAAGGTTTGATGACAAGCTCCATCAAAGGAGTGTGAAGCTCATATCATTGTCACGGTTACGCTTTCTAAACTGGTTTCTGAAGACACACAGAGGAAACACAATCAGAAGTGACTCAGGGATTGAAACTAGACGTAAAAAACAAAACAAACCGGCCTCTCTTTACGACGGCTGCGTTATCTGCAGCGTGTAAACTTATCTATCAGGGAACCGATCAAACATTAACGAATAAACTGAATACTCATCAGGACATTATCAGGGAGCGACGCACCCAGAAGCCAAACGTTAAAGAGAGTGACAGGAAACGAGAGACGCCGAGCATGAGACTACATTTACTCATTTCAGCTTTCTTATCCGTCTGGTTTCATTAGTGTGGATTTAGAAAATGTTTTAAATGTCACCGTCCCACAAAAATCCTTGGTGACATTTAATGAATGTTTTTTTATATCCATCGTTTCTATTGTGCATCTTTTAATCATGTCTGCAAATCATAAACACCTGATTGTTAATTCTGATTCTTGAATCAACACTAAATAAAAACATGTCGGATTCAATCTGTTCCTTAATGGATTCAATCACTGCAGCACACAGATAAATGTCCAGATCAATCTTTAACCACATGTTGTGACGATGCACAACGTGAACAAGTGAGAACACAAAGCACACGTCACTCAAACCACCTCAGAAACTTTACTTTTTAAACTTTTAAAGGCTAAAACAGCGAATATCAGACAGAACCGTGTCTTTCTTCACTGGACGGGACGTGTGTTGCTCGGACTATTGTCCCTGCGTCGTGTCAGTCTTCGAATATTGAGAACTAACTTTGTTGAAATGGGATTAAATGTAAATAAAGCGAGTTTCCGCAGGTTCACTCTGCGCTCTTCGTGTTTTTAGCTCCAGCTGGTGTTAGCCAAACTAGCTCGTTAGCTTAGCCGCTGGAGCTAACGCGTGTGTCGGGCAGAGGACGAGCTCAGCGTCGAGCTGCGTGTTTGGATTTAAACGTCACGTGCGGTTCTCCGGTGCGAACGCGCGCGAGCAGCGGGACTTACTCTGGGGTTTAGCGGGAGGTCCGTGCGCGCTGCCCCCGGGAGAGAAGCCGTTGGAGCCGTCGTGCTGCTCGGACAGGAGCGGCGACCGTTCCCCGTCCGCCATCACTGAGCGCCCCCGGAGCTCAAGCCCGTCACCGCCCCCGCAACGAAGAGTGTCTCCGGCCGGCGGAGGAAGCTCGGAGTCCCGCTGCAGAATCCCGGAGGAGCCGCCGAGGACACCGACACGGAGGAACCGGAGACGAGGAAACAAACAGAGAAGCAGGAAGTGAAGCGAACACCAGTCACATGACCGAGCGCTGACAGACGGCGAGCTCCTCCAATCACAGAGCTCGGTGAGGACGGGCGGGTCCGATGACGGCCCGGGCCGCGTCCCGCTCCTCGCACGGAGCTTCCTTTACCCGAGGGTTCATCTTTTACCGTCGAGGAAACAAGACTAGGACACTTCACGGCTCCCTCCGTCCTTTCTTCACACCGAAAGTTTCAAACATTACAGCTGCTGTAGTACAACACAGTATCAGTGTTGTACTACAACAGAGTATCAGTGTTGTAGTACTGTGTTGTAGAAGTACAGATGTGTTGTAGTAGTACAGATGTGTTGTAGTACTGTGTTGTAGTAGTACAGATGTGTTGTAGTACAACACAGTATTAGTGTTGTACTATTGTGTTG